GCGTTTGGTTTAGGGTTTAGGGGTTTAGGGTTTAGGGTTTAGGGTTTAGGGTTTAGGGTTTAGGGTTTAGGGTTTAGGGTTTATAGGAAAGATCTCAGCATGTTCGAAGAGCATTCCTTGCACACTCACAAGGGGTTTTGCAGGTTTTGGGTAGCCATCCATCCTCAACTCTAGATTTCGACCCGGTGCGGACAGGGGAGTTGGGCACAGAAGTGGCCAGAACAGCTTTGATGCTGCTGCTGCGACCCCGGCGCCGTTTGTCAAAGGGGGGTTGTAGGGTCAAGGGCTTTGAGGTTCAGGGTTTAGGGTTTAGTGTGTGTGTGTGAGAGAGATAGGGGATCCGAAACCCCAAAGGTTCAGTGTTGAGGGCTTAGGAATTCAGGCAATTGAGATTTTGGACACCGGTGAGGTTTCGGCTTAGGGATTAAAGCTTGAGATAAGCTCAGGGTCTAGGAATGCGTGATCCAGAACGGTTTCTGCGCAGCGTTTCTTCCTTGCCTCCGACTGTGAGAGTCATGACTTTTTAGGCTAAAAACTCCACCCTACCTAAAATTAGACGACTAGCTAGCTGAGCTCTGGTTTAGGGCTTAATTAGGGAGCATGAACCAGTCGGGGGTCATTATAGTACAACGAACCCACCAAGCTTTAGAATAAGTCAACCCGAGTGTATCTATACTATAAAATATTTTTTCTCCCTAAGGAAAAAAAAGCAAAACAAAGCTAAGCCACACCCAGGCCCCAAACGCGGAGCCTAGGCTTTTGTTTTGGCGCAAGATCGGCAACCAGAATTCTAGAGGATGCCACCAAGAGCGGGTACTATGGGGAGAGCTTTAGGGATTAGGGTTTTGGGTTTGGGAAGCCCAGTCATGTAGGGGATTTTGGTTTGGGAGTTAATGTAATGTTGGCCCTAAACCCTAAACCCTAAAGCCTGAACCCGAGACCCTAAACCCTAAACCGTAGACTGATTAAGAACCCCCCACCCCCTAGCCCTGCTATCAAGGTCGTCAAGGCTAAGAAACCCCGGACCCCGGGTCGGATTAATTGGGCAAGCCTTGTTTGGGGTTTGGGGGAAACTAGTACAGTAGTACGGTGGTACAGCAGTAGTACAGCAGTAGTACAGCAGTACAGTAGTAGAGTAGTATAGCTTGGGGAAAAACTAGTACCCTGAACCCTAAACCCCTAAACCCTAAACCTTAAATCCTAAACCCTAACCCCAAACCCCAAACCTCAAACCCTAAACCCTAACCCCAAACCCTAAACCTCAAACCCTAAACCCTAACCCCAAACCCTAAACCACAGTTGTGGTGCTGAACCAAACCCCTATAGAGCCCCGGAGCCTCCGCTGGTGGTAATCTCTTGCGGCCAGGGAGATTTCCTTCAAAAAGGAGGTGCACTGGGTTTGGGGTTTTTAGGGTTTTAGGGTTGAGGGTTTAGGGCCTAAGGGTGCAGGGTTTAGGTTTGGGTGTTTGGATCTGGCGCTGTGGAAAGCGAACTTGTCCAAAAGATGGGGTTTATGATCCCTAAACCGTTTAGGCGTATCAAGCTCACACGTCCTTTATGTTTGTGGGACACCACTTAAGGGCTCAAGGGACTTAGCAAGTAGGGTTAGGATCGGGCTTAGAAGTGCCCTAACTAGGGTTATCTAATCATGACCTGGCCTATAACATTGCTTACTAAGTCCCCTGGGCCTTTAAGTGGTACTATGCCACTCTGTCGTGATGGGGCAAGGATTCAGTAGTAGAACTTTCTTATGTTGTAGGGTAAGGGCATTGCATCTTTGCCAGAGGACCCGAGACACCTATACCTGACTTTGCCCAGCTATCATGAAATATGACACCCAAACAAAACTCACAGCTGGCTTGCAGCTATGTTCAGTGCTGTGTATCATATAGAGGTGTCAACAAGTTGTAAGCATGTTCCCCTGCAACCCCGTCTGATTATACTACAACATACAACGAATGCTTATTATATTTTCAGGCAGGCCCATTGCAGCATTCTGCCTGCATTAACGTTGGTGCCACTCATTGCTACCAATGTCAGAGCAGCTTTCTCCTTACTGCTGGTGTGACAGAGAACACCCTTCTTCTGTGACTTTGACTGCTGATGCTATTGTCGTTGCTGTCCTCGTTGCCGGTTCTGGTTCTGGTGGTGGATGTGGAGGTGGTGGCGGCCGTGGGCGTGGCTGGTGGTGTCTGGTGGCTGGTGCTGGTGATGGTGTTGGTTGTGGTGTTGGTGTCACTGCTATTGCTATTGCTATTGCTATTGCTATTGCTATTGCTATTGCTATTGCTATTGCTATTGCTATTGCTATTGCTATTGCTATTGCTATTGCTATTGCTGCTGCTGCTG